AAATCATAGTTTGACCAAATAAAATATGACGTATATTTTTATTCCATCTCGATTTTTTTTCGCTCAAATACGCCATGTATAGCTTTTAAAATCCGTTTCGTTTTTTTTCTATATGATTTGTGTATTTATACGAGTATATGCAATAGTATTATGCAGTCGGAAAATAGCTTTCCATTGTTAATGTTTCTTGTAGATTTTACTGACTTGAAAAAATATTATACATGTATTTAATAGTTTTCTTCATGATTTTTGTGCATGGTTACGAGAAATAGCCTAGTCATTTTGTATGTTTGTTGTGAATTTCGACTCTAAAGTAGTTTACCTTAAAATGATATAAATTATCCGGTAGAATAATAATTATTACCATTTTTGTTAAGAAGCAGGCCTGCCCTTAATGACTTCTTTATCACGAATCATGCAATAACCAAAAGCGGTTATGAAGCCTCGATGTGCTAGATATTTCAAATTTAAGCGTTTTTCGTGGAACTGGATATGGTCAACTTTCTGTTACTATTTTATATGCATACAACACACTGATGATTTGCTTGGGTGGTTTATTGTCCTCTTTTTCCTCTAGCTAACTTAAAAGCTGAACAAAATATGAAAAAGATTCCCAGCAGGCACACAACATTGAATAAACTTTGAATCGACGTTGTTTTTCTATGTTGATTCAACATTGATTTATGTTAGATTTTGAAAATTTGTATCAACGTTGAAGTCTTACCATTGAATCAACATTGATAATCAACGTTGATTATATGTTGAAAGACAGTTGTTTCAACATTTATTCAATTATTTCTTACCCCGTGGGGATCTGGGTTAGAATAGGTCCTCAGTACCCCCTTGCTTGTCGTAAAAGGCGACTAAATGGGGCGGTCCTTCAGATGAGACCGTATAAACCGAGGCCCCGTGTCACAGCAGGTGTGGCACGATAAAGATCCCTCCCTGCTCAAAGGCCGTAAGTGCCGAGCATAGGCCTAAATTTTGCAACCCTTCACCGGCAATGGTGACGTCTCCATATCAGTGAAATATTCTGGAGAGGACGTTAAACAGTATACAATCAATCAATCAATTATTTCTTTTGGAAAGGGGGGTGTCATACAGTAATAATATACTTACTTAATATTTCAACCGTTTCATTGCACGGTTGCTAAGATGCCTTCATAATTGTAGAAGGGATAGCGACCCTCTGATAAGACAGATAACTTTCAAAGTACAAAATAGAAGTACTACTCACAGTTTTCTTAATCAGTTTCCTGAGACTTCTGAGTAGTCAATTTGATGAGATCAAACATATGATGGAAACATTATTTTCTATTTCTTTTGCAATTTTCTTTGTATAATTGTTCTATTATATTTAACAATTAAACATTTAAATCCAACATCAAATGCCTTATAAATTGAATAAGTTGTATCTTTTTGAGTACCATTTTTAAAATGGTTTAACATTTAAAGTACTTAATACAGTATTTTAATTAGAATAACTTTTTTTCACATGAAGAAATATTTAGAAGAAAGACAACCCCTCATCACAGATATATCTTTTTTCTTACAACCACATACAACATTGTGATTTTCCGACTTAGGAAACATCGATTCATGATGTTTTCTAACATGATCTAAATAGGTATAATAGAAAGTATTATTTTCATATGCACCTCATATATTACATTTAATATTGTGGTAATAAATCGTTACTCTTTCTATTCTCTGCGTTCGATTTCTTCATTTTCATGATTTGCACATAAAAATCATTTCTTAAAAAATGAGCAGCGCTTTATACTTCAAACTATTTTCCATGTGATTCTAATGTTATTGTTGTTTATAAAAATCAATATTTACAAATTTAAGACTTTTTTAGGTGAAATTTATAGCAGACGGTCGGGGCCCCGTAAATAAAAACATACGGAAGATCACCACATGAAAAAAATATATATATTGTAAACAGAAAGTGTTTAATTTCCTATCAATAGTTAACTGTGTAACAATAATTTTCACCAAAATACATTTTAAAAATTAATCATGTTACAAAACCCGAGGATCTACAAACGTTTAGTATTTTCACATGTGGTCATAAAATAGTCCAGAACATGACAAAATTCCAAGGTAAGATGCAAATCTTATACGGTACACCTTTTGATGTACCAGAGATGCATTTCGATAAATTATGTCTCTTCAATGATACTAGTACTCTGACATGCCGAAATGTTTTCTTTAAAGAGTATTTTTTTTAATCAAATCTTGGTGTTGAGTCCTGAGGGTTGTGTTATGCTGTCTTTATACATATTTTCGGATGTCTTACTGCATATCCTCTTAATTCGTACTTTATCAAATTTGTACTGGATTCATACTTATCATTGAATATGCAAAATTTCTACATTTACCATGCTTGTTAGTTATAATAGTTAGTAATGATATACAGTAGTGTGACTTTGTCAAGTCCGACCTCGTTATGGTCCGACAGTGTTATAGTCCGACACAAGATCATAGTCCGAATTATCTATCAGCGAGAAATAGGATTGGCACGCTCAGCGAAGATTCTACGTTGAATCAATGTCCACAAATCAACTCAATTTGAATTCAATGTTGATTAAACGTTAAATTTTCAACGTTGAAAAAGTCAACGTTGAATCAATATTGTATCTAGATTTATCAACGTCTAAACCCAACTTCAACTAATATTCAACGTTTAACAACGTTTTGTGCCTGCTGGGTTAGGTGCAACGTTTAAATACAGGTTGTGCTAGATATTCTGCTTAAAAGTTATTTTTTGTAACTTGATACATTGTATGTCCTGCTTTTTACACTCTGAGACATTTTGAATGTCCAACATAATACACTGATGATTTGCTTCGCTGGTTTATTTCCCTCTTTTAGATATCAGAAAAAAAGTCGTTCAAAAGTGTCATAAATATTAAGTGCATAGAAAATCGAACATCACTGATATTATTGCAATTATATATGTTACTCGCTAAATACGAAGAATGTATAGCTTTGTTGAAAAATAATATACTCAACAAATGCTTGAATACATTATGGTTTATTTTGAATTCATGTAAACGACATTTAAAGGATATGATTTCTAGACCATTTTTAAATCATATATATATGAATTTAGATAATGTCATAAAATGTGAGACATCTGCTGTGATCATAACATATTTGTACACATTTTGTTTTTGTTCATACGCTAAATTCTAAATTTAACATGTAAACTTTAAGATATGTACATATAGTTGTGCGCTCATATACACATGCTAAGTGCCCACTTTATCACAAAATGCATGAATGATTAAGGTTTATTAAATTACATACTTTTTTCAAAATGATTATTCAGGGACGTAGCAACAGGGAGGGTCAGGGGCCCTCCAATTTTTCCCAAACATTACCTTTACTAAAGTAAATGTTCATTGAAAGGATGGTTGCCCCCTCCCTCTCCCCACTCGTTACCAGAGTATAGGGTTGCCCCCCCCCCCCCCACTCACACACTCACACAAAATAGGATTTTCGAGTTCGGGCAACCTTACATTCTTTAAATTTTATTTTTTAATTTTTTTTTTATTTTTATTTATTTATTTTTTTTTTTTTTGATTGTCAACTTTTTCAGGTAAGTAAAAAAATGTTCTCTGGTTGCCTCCCCCCCCCCCAACTTTCAAAAACGATGGTACGTGCCTGTTATTTACCTAATTGGGTAAATTTCACATAAGAAAAAATGAGAGCCCAATAAACTTCGCAGATACATGTTGTCAAATTTATTCACAATTCTCTTCTACCCTCAGATGTTATACACATAATTTAACCACGTGCATTTATTTCAAGTCATCGTTGGCAGCACTTACAGAATCACTCATATGCTCGTGCGTATGAACATTCAACACATGCAAATTGCAACAAAGATAAGTTTAATAGGCATATAATAATCATGTTCTATATTTTTTCTCCTTTTTATACGCCCGGAACGATGATCAGGGCATATATTATTTTTGCCCAGTCTGTCTGTTTTTTTCTGTTATCTTTTTGTTTGTACATAGGCAATTTAGCCACATATGATCCACATATGCATTGCCTTTCATATGAGGATCATATGTGGATCATATGAGAATCATATGTATATACAATCATATGAGAATCATATGTGGCAAATCATATCAGAATCATATGATTACAATATGTAAATCATATGAAGTAATATACATATGATTCTCATATGAAAGATCCTGCATATGAGAATCATATGAATATTCTGACAATAATCATATGAGAATCATATGAAACTGATCATATGAGAATCATATGAAACAGTGTTCACTTATCTGTCCTTGTTATACTGAAGTAAAATTGCAATTTCAATAATATATATCAAAAGCTAAATTTAAATGTACATTAATTCAAAAGAATTTGTTAGTAATTAATTATATGTAAAGTTCTACTCTGTTTACCCTACCCACCCCCCCCCCTTTTCCTTCTAAAAAAAACCTTTCACAATTTTTTTTCTGTTATAATGCATTTCCCAGACAAAATAGATAAAGAATAAATTAATTTGCTTTTCATTTTAAATCTTTTGGGTTCGGCTAAGTACAATTAAAATAATTCCGTATTTTTCTCCGGGCCGGTTTTGTCTTTTATCGGATGAAAATATACGTCATTTTTGACGTCACTGCTGCAGCAGACGTGTTGGGTGTTTGGAAAAGGGAAGTGATCTCCTAACAATATTATTTTAAAGACTTTTGATTCATATTGTTTCAATATCATTTCATTATGGTGCTTATGAACTTTCTATATTTTTATAATATTCTTATTACTTCAATACTTGCATGCATTTCGTAAACCTAACGTTCGTGATCTGTAAGTAAGTTTGGATAAAATTTGTTTCTGAATGAATGTAAACATTACATGTTAGACTAAAGGCATTACTACTTTTTAAAACTAAAATTTGTTTTCGTTTTGTTACGTATTGATATGAAAGTGAAAGTAGAAACCTTGTATGTCAGTTGGCGTTATGTATGTCGAGATCGTTATCAAGTCTGGATTCCTTCTACAACTTAATGACAAATGTTTGTTTATATGGCCTATAGATGCATTCGGCAACTTGAGTTCAGTGTCACAGTGCTGTTTTTTTTTTCAGTCCAAAGAGCCCGAAGCTGATAAGACTGACGATTGATCCTGAAGCTGATTTGACAGACGATTGCATCATCACAATATTGAAGGTAAAAATAAATACTTGCAATAAAAAATCAAAGTATCTGTAATTCTCTTTATGACAAAATATTTCTTTATTATTATTTTTTTTTTTGTTCTGTTATAATTCTAAATTGTTTGCATGGCTTAATTCATCAAAAATAAATTCAACTCAACTCAATACTCTACATTATAATTTTAATCCAGTGCACTTAAAATATGCAAAGTATGAATAGATTTTGCTGGCTGTAAAGGCTATGAAACTATATAGTATACAATAACTTTTTGGGGAGAGGGGGGATAAATTGGATTTTTGAATTTCAACTAAAAATTTATAACAGTGACGGTATAATTAAATAGGCATGTGCATGTGTGTTGAAAGAACATCAGCTAGCTAATCCATTGAATATTTACATCTATGTATTCATTGACTGACAATTATTTTTCCCTCCAACACTAGTGAATGGTGCACGTGCCTATAGTTTCGGGTTAAATGTTAGATATATTTAAGACTATAGAGAACCTACAAACTTGTACTCTCTGTTTTTAATCGTTTAAGTTTGAATAAAATGTATTCTTAGAAAATATCTACTGTGTGAGACTGTGAGTATTTGTCTTACAGGTTCAATATACAGTCAGCCTCTCATAAGATAAAGAACAAATCCCAAGATCCAAGGCTTGCTTCAAAGTTAAGGTAACTACACACTGTTAAATAAACTTTTTTATAGTCTTCCCAAAAGTTTGGGATATCTTGGAATCGCAATGTCTGTTTTTCTGCCTGTTTACTTGTCTGTAGTATTTTTTGTCCAAAAACAATATACATGTATTTGTATCAGAATCTTCTTAATTTTTTGCCAATCTGAATTAATATATACTGTTTGAACATTCCAAATTTAATTGTCAAAATAACAAAAAATTGTTTTTTATGATTTTATTATGAAGCATATCTTTCAATAGTGTAATTGTTTTGCAAATTACATCATAGGATTCCTCAAAACACCTAGCATAACATATATAACGTTAGTTTTATCTTGTATAATATCTGTGTCAGTGAATTGGGCATACATTTGTTTGCTGATTATACCTAAGTAACTTTTATAACTCATAGAATTTAAAGAATTTATTTTATTTTTACTTTTGAAATTTTTGTAGAGACCATTCTGTGCCACAAAGAAATTGTTCAGGAAGAGGAGAAGTGGTGGATATTCATTTTTGGTACGGTACAGTTCAAAGAGATTTTCAAAATGGTCATGGAAGATCAAAGGGAGGACAACTGAAAAAAATGAAAGATACAGAAGGAAAAAGAACAAGAAAATATAGGACATAATGATGAACTGGGGAGGATGTACACAGTCTTGTCTGAATTTGAGCTGTGAAAATTTCCCATATTCTTATTGTATGCTGGAATAATCAATAACTTGATTTTTCATAAATTTACAATGGAGAATACATGACAAATGTTATTGCTGATATTTCAATTTTGCTTTGGACACTTTCATGTCATATGGTATTTTTATACATGAACTAATTATGTTATTCATTTGTACATGTACAGTATACATGTTTAACTACTTAATCATTTTGCTGAAATCTTATAATTTGTACTCATGTTAGAATATGTTAAATACATGTATCGACAAATGCTACTGACTTGTTCGTATACTTTCTTGTTTAGAATGTACACTGTCAAAAATAAGTTATTTCTCTTGATGAAAATAATTTTATCAAAAAAGTCGTGTAAGCATTATTACAAGATTTTTTGAAATATTTAACCAATGAAGATAGATCATTGTAATGTAATGAATTTTCATCTAAAGCAGAAATATCTGATTTTTAAATGTGTACAAGAATGTGAAAAATATTGAAAAAGAACACACAAGTGTTTCATATGATTTACATATGATGTCCTTTTCATATGATTCTCATATGTAAATGACTTGAAACACACATAAGTGTTTCATATAATTTACATATGACACCATTTTCATATGATTCTCATATGTAAATGGCTTGAAACACACTTAAATCATTCATATGAAAATCATATGTAGTTATTTTCATATGATTCACATATGTGGATCATATGTAAATCATATGATTTGCTTCATATGATTCACATATGATGCCCTTTTTCTATGATTCTCATATGAAACCAATCATATGAGAATCATATGATACTCATATGAGAATCATATGTGGCTAAGTTGCCTGTGTACCTTCGCATTACTTTTGAACCGTTAGAGATAGAGACTTCATATCTAGTATGCAGTACTCTAGTCATTACGTTCTTTGTAATGACGATAAGATAAATTACTTTGTGACCTTGACTGTGAACCTATTGCCAAAGATAGCTTTTTCGAACTTTGCTGCCGTCGGGCACATAGTGTCTCACAAACACATGTAATATCATTTCATATGCTTTAGAACCGGTGCGTCAAGGGGGGGGGGGGGGTTGCAAATGTATACAAAATATATGCATTGAAAATTGGGGTTTACCTCTTTTGTTGGTTAAGCCCCCCCCCCCCTTTCAATTCGCTCCCTCTCCATTTTCAATTTGCTTCCGACGCCTATGCATAAGGGATGTAACTAAATGTATGAAGAGAGGGGGTCTTGAAACTTCGGAAGTTTGTTACATCTCTAATTTAAATGTGCAGTAATAATTGAGTGTTTGATAAGACGCAATATTAAAAGCAAAATTGAGTAACCAGCCTAAAATTTTTCTATGTGTTTATAGATTAAGATATTATAGTCACATGTCTCAAACAATAGTGAGAAATTTTCCGTAGGAAGAATCCTCGTTATTTAACAATGCAATCATCAATTTAAAACCAGTCGTTTAAATACAATTCAGAAACTTTTTGCAATAATGACACAAAGCTATATGTATAAAGTACTTTATTTCTTACATGAGAGATGAACTAATTGCAGATCGTCTTATTCAAATAAAGTGACTAGCATGCAGACGACATACCGGTAAGTGAAAAGCAAAGTAATCAGCGTAGGTTTCATTTCTATTAATAGCAACAAGTGTCTTAAAACTAAACATATTGCAAATTAAAGAGTCCTTGTAGATTGTTGTCGCTATTTCTCACGTCCAATGTTGAAAATCCGCAGTATGTTTTTAAATAATATGACTGACAAGATATAATTTTATATTTAAATGCAATTTTGAAAAATGTACATATATAAGATAAAAAGAGAGCAAAAACAATGGATCTTAAAAAGTTTTTTTTTAGTCTCTTCTATCAGTCGAATCTTTTACAATTCCAATACATCCATTCGTCTTTTTTTCGATAAAACTAATAAAAAGGAATTGAACAATTGCAATGTTTATTTTAAAAATTGAATGCATTATAATTCTTTATCTAACTGTATACATAATGAAATATAATCCTTACAAATCTGAGCTAATATTTTCCTTATTAAATTTCCAGTGCTTTGTTGGCTTCTTCATACATTTTGTAGGCCGCGTTTAATTTTGCAATGCTTATCAATGTACCATATATGATATAGGGAAGAAAGCAATACAAAATTCAGTATTTATATAAATACCTTACTTCATTATTTTTCAGCGGGAAAATATCTAACTGACAGATGAGTCATACCTGGAATTTTATATAAGGAATAATATGTTGTAAAACATGTTGCACTCGATTTCCTTTTTTAAAAAATATCGAGTCAGTGTAAAATTTCATGAAAAAAACATATAACGATCTACATTTTTGGTCACCTGTGAAAAGTATGACATTTTAATACCGGTATAAGGTGTGTTAAATATACCATTCAAAAATGTGAATTTTGATACATTAGAGAGGTTTCGAAAGATACCGTGTACGTGTACTTGTACGTGTAACTTAAAATTGTAAATAGCTTCCTAAAACAATTTATATCAATTTGGAGTCTACAAATCTATTTTTAGATCAATGTAGAGGAAATAAATCCTTGTATTGACCTAGAACGTCACGTGCAGGTCAATACAACGTGATATTTTTCTAACATAGTTGGATCTCAGCCAATCAGATAAGTGGAAATTATTCAATCATATAATAAAATGTATTGCTTTCGGCAATTAATGCTTTTCTGAAGGTAAACATGTACATGTATTTATACACCAATAGTTGAAATGTAAAAAGAGGTATCCTGAATTCATGTGTTCTATCTTATGTATGGATGAATAAATATTTCATTTAATAACATGGTTGAAATCTATTGCAGGATATTGATAGGCTAATTTCTACATAACTGGGACACGAGCATAGAAAATGCATTTATTTTACAAATGCTTAAAATACAGAAGTTTTTAAAAAAATAATTTAGGAAGAGAGATTTACCTCAATAAACTTCCAAAAGATTTTATAATTATATTAACAGATTTAAAACGTGTAACCACAAGCTTCCGATCTTAGTAAGTAGATAAACTAATATTAAGAGGTCTCTCAGAATATGTTATTTCTGTAATAAAATATACTTTATGTATATTGTAAGTAATGGAATGTCAATATTTTTTCTCATTAAGTATGAAACTTCTTATTAGAGAGGTTTCGAAAGATACCGTGTACGTGTACTTGTACGTGTAACTTACACGTACAAGTACACGTACACGTAACCATGACTTTTTATGTAATATTTTCTCAAACGTGTACGCGTACGTGTGACGTAACAAAAGATGTCATAGGTTAAATTTTATCAAATCAAAGTGATCGTTTGCAAAATGGAAGATTTAGGCCTGCTGGCTGCTACTGACAGAGTGATGGAAGAAGAAATTCTCCTTCTTTCTATTATTGATTCAGACAGAAGAACGTTTGAAAAGAATTTTGATCTTGAAAGGCTAACAGAAGAGGAGTGCAAATTACTTTTCAGGTTTGAAAAAGCTGATATACACATTGTATTCCATGCATTACGAATTCCTGATAAAGTTATTTGTCCTAACGGGATTATTTGTTCTGGACTCGAAGGGCTGTGTATTTTGCTGAGAAGACTTGCTTATCCTAATAGACTTTCCGACATCGGCAAAATATTTGGAAGACCAGATTCAGTTCTGTCCTTTATTATTAACAACATGTTAGAAATAATTTTTTCCAATCATTCTCATCTCTTAGCTGACCTTAACCGCTCATGGCTGTCAAATCAGAGTTTGGATGAATTATCTCATGCTGTTCAAATGACAGGTGCCCCTTTGCCTAATTGTTGGGGATTTATTGATGGAACTGTACGACCTATTTGCCGACCATCTAGAAACCAGAGGATAGTTTTTAATGGACATAAAAGAGTCCACGCACTGAAATACCAAAGCATAGTTTTGCCAAACGGTATTATAGCGAACATGTTTGGACCCATTGAAGGGAGGCGACATGATGCCGGATTACTTAGAGAAAGTTGCTTGTACGACCAGTTAGAGAGGCATATGACAACTCCAGCTGGTGATGCATATGTGCTATATGGGGACCCAGCGTATCCACTGTCTACTTTCATCATAACACCATACCATGGACGTGTGATATCCGCACAACAAGCCTTATTCAACAAAAAAATGTCAGCGGTTCGTACGTGCGTTGAGTGGGCATTCGGGAAAATTCTTAGCTTGTTTTCCTTTCTTGATTATAAGAAAAACCAGAAGTTATACTTGCAGCCAGTTGGAAAGTACTTTTTAGTGGGGTCCATTCTCACTAATTGTCACACGTGCTTATACGGAAGCGAGACGGGTATGTACTTTGGTTTAGAGCCACCAACTCTCCAGGAATATTTGGCAGGATAGCGGTTATATAAACATGTCGTGCGACTAGTGACTAATCATTCGTTGATAACTGTGAAAAATATTGACAGATGAAATTTATATGTTTTACTTCTAAATTCTAATAGATTAAAGAGAAACAAAATTATTGTCATAAATCAACATATCTACTCTGACAGTTTCTATCAACACAAGAATTTTCTACTTTCTATCTGATAACATCTTAAATAAATTTAACATCATTGTATTGTGTTGTTTGTCCATTTCCATTCTTTGTTTTCTTTCCTCCTTCTCCAATTCAAAACGTTCTCTCTCTAGCCTAAGTTCCTCCCTCCTTATGTCCATTTCGTCGCGCTTTACTTGGCCGTCACTTTCAGACCTTGATTGGAGATAGGAGAGAACAGCGCTGCTACTTCCTCTGGTCGCTTTTTTACATGAAGAAGACCGGGGACTCTCGTCATCATCATCTTTAAAATGCCAGATATCTATATAAGCTTTTAACCAAAATATCAAAATTTAATTAAGTTCTATACACATGTATATGAATTCAATTTACCCTTTTCTGGTGACAAGCTCTCCATAGCTCTCTTTCTCAAGTTGACGGCTTTAGCGTTTTCAATGGATTTCTTTTTGTCCGTTTCCTTTCGGATTTCTTCTTCCTCGTACAATGTACGTATATCCTCAAGCAAAAGCTCCTTTTCACTGTACTCTTCATCTAAACCTGACCTAAACGAACACAAGAAATCGTGAACCGTATGTAAGAAATCGTGACACTTTATAAAAGTGTTTAAACGAAAAATAAAGAATCTGGATATTAAACTTAATCAATTCGAATTGGTTTACAGGGAGCTTACTTTTTTAATTTGTCATTTTGATCTTGTCGATATTGAGTTAATAATAGAAGAGTCCTCTCCCGTGCTCTTCTGCTGTCTATTTTAAAAGTGTCCGTTGACAAACTTGCACTGACTTCGACCCATTTTCCTTTATTAGCAAAGGGATTCTTCGCCATCACTTCACGTAATAAATTTAAATCATCCGTTTGATTAAAGCGGACCTGCTTTTTGCGGGATAATGCCATACTGATCCTGAAATAAATAAATTCATACAAGTAATTAACATTATTTAATGAACAAGCACAAAAAATGTAAAATAGTTTTAATAAATAAGATAAACTCTCTCTCTTTCTCATAAAAAAAACGAAACACAAACACAAGTACGCCACATCACGCATGGCCCTATTTTATTTAATAAGATCTGGGTGCATGTAAGCGGACAACAATTTGCCTTTGAGGGGAGATGGCAGGTTTTGGAAATAATCTGTCTGCGATCGTCAAGGAAATAAATCAAATGTCCTTGCTAGTTCTACTACCACCAGTCCCTCCCCGAACCCTACGAAATGGAGTTTTTTTTTAATAATATTTTTAGTGAGGGAATTATTTTTTTCCTTGATCATCTTGGATTTAAATGACCTGTTCTTGACTTATTTAAAAATAAATGCTATAATTTTTGCCAGCACCCTTTAAAAACAATGGTCGTCTCCTCGTCAGTCACCCCCCCCCCACACACACACACACACAACACATACTGTTGTCCTTCCCCAAATTCTTGTCCTCGACTGGATTACGTGAAAAGGACAAATCTTTTTTTAAACTATTTTTCACTGATACAGAGTACAGACAATAAATCATAATTTTATATTCAGAACAATGCGAGTCGCCTAGTGTAGATCTGTCATACGCTTTATTACCTCCTCATATCAAGCATTTTTTGTAAAATGCCAGGATAAATCGTAATAGGGGTATGCTATAAATTCTTAAGATCACATTTATACAAGAATTTCATTCAAGAATTGTTCTATAAATTTAAGAATAGTCACAAGTTATTACTTACGTGTAAAAGCTATTTTACAAGTAGATGATGACGCCACCGTGTAGTTATGCGCTGATTCTGCTGACGTAATACGCATTATATTCAGGGGATTTCCCGTTACACGTACAAGTTCACGTACACGTCAAGGTTTCGAAACCTCTCTATTAAGTCATCTTTTTTTACACTTGTAGACATTTTGAATAAATACATTAAGTCATCTTTTTTTAAACTTGTAGACATTTGGAATAAATACATTAAGTCATCTTTTTTTAAACTTGTAGACATTTGGAATAAATACATTAAGTCATCTTTTTTTAAACTTGTAGACATTTTGAATAAATGTAACACGCTGAATGATTTCCTTGGCCGGTTTATTACCTTGTTTGCCTTCTCGCTATTCAAGAAAAAGTCATTTTTAAAACTATATAAAGATGTCGTGCATAGGAACTCAAGAATTAAAACATCTTTACAACTATTTAACTTGCTAAATAATATACTCAACAACTGCATATAAACAAAATTATTTTTTTTAATTCTTGAAAACAATACAGAAAGAAGATCACATCTTGGTAAAAATAATAAGGTCATACTTTTGTGAGGCATCCGCTTTGATAAATGTATATCTGTAAACTTTTCTCCTACTTACTGTAAACGCACAAATATTCGTGGGGGATTAAATTTTGTTTATTTCGTTGTTAACAAAATTTTATCCCACACGAAATTTTATTTGACTAGATATAGAATAGGGTTAGCTTTAAAACAACGAAATTAAATGCACACGAAATTGTGTTTGATGACAAAACAATGAAATTTTATGCCCACTAAAAATTTGTGCTTCTGCAGTATACACTGAATTGTAAATTTAAAATGTAAACTTTAAGTCGTGTTCTTGTGGGCTCATATTCACATGCCTAATGCACCTACTTTATCACAACATGCATGCGTGATTAAGGTCTATTATATTGTATACTTTATTAAAATTATACAGAAGTTTTCAATATCAGTTATATAATTAAAAAATGAAGAATAACATGATCTATCAAAATTTGGTTAAATTTAACATTAGAGAAAATAAAAGACCATTAAACTTTCTTCACTGATACATATTGTTAAGTTTATTTATCATTCTCTTTACTCTCATGTGCTTTACACATTATTATCACGCCATTTATTTAAAGTCATTGTTGGCAGTTCATGTGAACTCGCACGATTTTACACATGTTAATATTAACCAATATAAGTTCAATAGCAAATATTTACATTTGCCAATGTCTTTCCTTATATGAAAATACAAAAAATAAAATTCAATTTTCGATGAAAAATATAATGGTAGGTACTAGAACTTTCATATTTCACATATGTATTCTTTGTAGCAAGACCCTTTATTAGATACCAACAACTTTGACCTTTTGACCTTGACCTTGGAGATTTCCGTACTTATGAAAACACTTTAACCTTGACGATAACGTTTGAATGGTAAGGGCTAGGGCTTTCATACTTCATATTTATAATTCTTATGAGAAGACCTTTCATAGAATATCAAAAACTTTGCCCCTTGGACCTTGATCTTTTATGTGTGTCCTATATTTAACATTTTCTACTTTTCGCATATGGTAAAGAAGTCATATAGAGATACTAAATGATACAAAAACAAAAAAGTTTTGACTGTTAAGTTAGAGATTAAAAACACTTTCTATGGATTCTTGGCTCATATCTATACCAAGAATGGAAGCTTCTAAAGGCAAATACTGTGAAATCAAAAAAAATCGTGAAGGTTTAATTTTCGTTGATTTCAAGGTATGAAGAGACCGAGGAATTCATGTCCACCATGAAATGTTACACGTTACATACGTATGCATATGTATACTCAACACTTCTTCATCCTTTCAATTCAAATTCAAGCGAACAAAGAGTTTTTACTCAAAACACGATAATTAGACTCCACGAAAGTATGTGGTTTTACAGTATATTGTAGTTTGTTTGGAAAATCATATTTATTTGATACATTTTTAAACTTTTTTTCTTTATCATTATTTTATTTGAGCATTTGAACTATCTTTCTAGCCTTTGATTGTCTAAAAATTATAAACTAATTCATTGTTCTACAATAGTTTGAAGAATCAAAAAGGAAGATATTTTCATACGCCACCACTCTGCCAAAAATATAGATCCTGCTAGATTTTAAACTCAATTTGCCGTATCTATTTGAAGTTGTACAATTGTGTGTGAGAAAGGAAAAATATGATCTATTAAATATCTTATACATCTAGATATATAAGATATATATAAAAAAATATATACATTGAATATTTCATCTAGTCAGAAACCAGAGAAGAATCCTACCTTAAACTAAGCATATTGCAAATTAAAGAGGGATTGTACGTGTATCTTGTTGCACTAAATCTCACTCCAATCTTGAAATTTTGCAGTAATAATATGACTGACAAGATATTTTTAGGTTTAAATGAACTTTGGAACAAATGTACATATATAAGATAAAAAGAAAGAAATAACAATTGATTTAATAAAGTGACTTTTGTGTTTGTTAAGTCTCTTCTATCTGTGGAATCATTTGAAATTCCAATACATCCATTTTTTTTATTTTATTTAATTTGACAGGACTAAAAAGAATTCAAGAATTTTAAATTCCTTACCTAACCGCATGAGTAATGCAATACAATCAATACAAAATTCGACCTATTTTCCTATTTCAGTGTTTTGTTGACTTCATACATTGTGTAGGCATGCGTTAAATTTTGCGATGTTTATCGTTGTATTATATGTGATATAGGGAAAAAAGCAATACAAAAGTCAGTATTGATACAAATACCTTACTACAGACATAAATTTAATCTCTTAATTTGGGCGTATTTTTCAGCAGGAAAATGTTTAACTGACAGATGATACAAACAAAATTATGATACCTGGAATTATATATAAAGGAACAAATTATTTTGTTAAACATGTTGCACTCGATTTCCTTTTTGAGAAAAAATATCGAGTCAGTGTACGATTTTATGAGAAAAAAATATATAACAATCTACCTTTTAGTTCACCTGTGCAAAGTATGACATTTAATACCGGTACTAGGTTTGTTAAATATACCATTTAAAGATGTGAAACTTGATACATTAAGTCCTGCTTTTTTAAACTTGTAGACATTTTGAATAAATATAACACGCTGAATGATTTCCTTGGCTTGTTTATAACCTTGTTTGCCTTCTCGCTATTAAAGAAAAAGCCATTTTAAAAACTATATAAAGATGAAGTACATAGGAACTCGAGAATCACTAACATCTTAACAGTTATGTAACTTACTAAATAATATGGGTACATCCCACTAATTATTTTTAGAATCGGTAGGAGAAGAAAGTAGTGCAGAAAAATTTGTAAATTCCTTAATTTTCAGACTTGACTAAAAAAAAATGTGATTATGTACTAAACTGAGCCTCATACTTCTTGATAAGGAGTATCTTTCCTATCAAAATAGCTTTTAAATGTAATTTATCAAGAAGATTAGCTGAATTATTTTGTGTATTATACCGCCAATGAGAATCCTGGAATTCCCCTACTTTCACTTTCATTTTCAGAGGTTCCTGCAGACAGACGCATTTTGCCGGAAAACGAATCTGACATGCCACCTCGAGATTTTAACCACGGAAAGACAAGTTGATGTGCTTTGATTTAAGGGGTCACTCATTTCTGAACGAAAATTAGGGACATCACTATGAGGAGAAACGTTAACATTGTCGCCTATGGGAAAACAATTAGTGGACTGTACCCATATTAGGAAGCCTATAAGTAAGTGAAAGATGTCATAGATCCTAAATTTATTTCAAATTTGGTGTTTTCTATTATTTTCAATTGTTCAAATTTATGAAAAAAACAATTATTATATTTTGGAAACACATTTTCAAACAAATTGATACATAAATAAAGTGTCTATACCCCCCCCCCCCCCCGGAACAGTAAAAATGCTCATACATGTATCACCCATTGTTTACACATGTAACGTGTAAATGTATCGATTTATATCATTTATTTATAAATTCAGAATCATAAATATATAAATTGATTAAGAAGCAATTACGTAGAAGTACATGCTCCACTTTGGTTTATTTTCAATACACAAAAATTCACAAATGAGGTCGGGATCGGTATTCAATCAGTGTCAAGGACGAAGTGAAAGTAGACTTAGCAGAAAGTTATCAAAACTGTTCAGTGCAGTGTTTAGCAGTACATAAGTGTAGGGCATTTGTATTTTACACATGAGACAAGAGGTATACCTTAGTACAGTATTTGTAAGTAGAAATTTAATGTTTTTTGAACATGATGATCGACACGTCACATATGTGACAAACATCATTTCAGATCAGTTGCACCGTCAAGCTGGGTGCAGCTGTATGGGAGTTAAACGGTGTGTGTGAACATGCACATTAACTGATTTTTCTCATATTTTTTAGCAATTGCATTACATGTATTTGTTGATTGTACCATTATTACCTATTCTGCTGAATTAACTTAATTACCAATATATGTTAACAGTGTGATTTCGAGTGGGAGCAAATTCATCATTTTTTATTAATTTCAAGTTATGGGCATAAAAGGAATATGGTAAAATTGTATGTATTGAATCTCTGTGTGTTTGTCTGTCTGCAAATGTGATATTGTGCCATTTATAGTATGAATTTTTTTTTAGGTTGTCATGGTGATTGGTACTGGAAAACCATGAGGTTGATGCAGATGGGGTTTAAAACTATTGACCAGCAAACGCGCACCCATTTGAATACATCTTGAAGCATCACAAGCAAAATGTGACCGTCGGCAAAATGTGTAAATTAAAGTTTTTCTAAAAAAAAATGTCATCGAAGTAGGGGATGGGGTGGGGGTGGGGGTTTGGGGTGAGGAAATGTATATATTAAATAGGTGATCAGAATGTGAAAGTATTTATCTATAACGAAGCTGTACATGCACTGCTATATACATTTTGTAGCTCAAGGCATATAGATTTTCTTTTCTTAATTAAGAATTTCAAATTAATCAGATCTACATCATTGTTTTGTAAATTATGCATTATTAAGATTACACGGATATAAGAATAGAAATTTCATAAATATTTGATTGTCAAAATTATGCGATTTGTCTGGAAATTCAAAATTTTGTCTCATTTTCCTACAAATTACAAAATGGTTACCATGGAAACAAAACAACTTTAGTCGATTATTTATTTAATCTGCAAAACCGCATAATTTTATTTTTTATTGTTAACATGAATATATTAGCACTGTTTTGGTCTTTAATGAGAAAGTACGGGAAAAGTAATGATACACGTGTATTGAGCTATCCATTATTATGATGTCATTGTGACGTCATAGATGAGTAAATTTGCATTGGCATAAAAATTGCTTTGAAACAATTGATTCTATATAGGAGTAGAAAGGCTTGTAACTTTTTTATTCAAAGACCAAATTTCATGAGTGATACATCAATGGACAGGAAATAATCAGCACTTTCTTATTTTACTACTTTCGAGGTATTTGGTAATTTAATTTTTTTGTCATCACTGGGGAAACTATGGATTATAGGGTGAAAAATGGTCATATTTTGTGCGGAAATGCATTAATTTTTTTAAAGAAGTGAAATTGACCCAATTAAATGCTTTATTATGATTTGACTATATATATTTAAGGTTATGAAGGTGAATAAGAATGGTATAGATGTGTTAATAAGCGAAAATTTTACTTAAAATTTGGGTGCAGTTTTGGCTAGATTGGAGCACTTTTTAAGGATATTACACATAGAACTGTAAATGCTGTAAAATCTTAATTAATGGTTCAATTTTCATGAAACTTGGCATGATGTCTCTACTTATGCTCTAGATTGACAAACAGTGTGAAATATTGTAAAATCAAAAAAATGCTTTTTCATATTGGGTACATCCCACTAATTATTTTTAGAATCGGTAGGAGAAGAAAGTAGTGCAGAAAAATTTGTAAATTCCTTAATTTTCAGACTTGACTAAAAAAAATGTGATTATGTACTAAACTGAGCCTCATACTTCTTGATAAGGAGTATCTTTCCTATCAAAATAGCTTATTAAATGTAATTTATCAAGAAGATTAGCTGAATTATTTTGTGTATTATACCGCCAATGAGAATCCTGGAATTCCCCTACTTTCACTTTCATTTTCAGAGGTTCCTGCAGACAGACGCATTTTGCCGGAAAACGAATCAGACATGCCACCTCGAGATTTTAACCACGGAAAGACAAGTTGATGTGCTTTGATTTGAGGGGTCACTCATTTCTGAACGAAAATTAGGGACATCACTATGAGGAGAAACGTTAACATTGTCGCCTATGGGAAAACAATTAGTGGACTGTACCCATATACTCAAAAACTGCATATAAACAAAATAATTTCTGTTTTAATTCTTGAAAAGAATACAAAAAGATCACATCTAGATCAAAACTAAGGTTATACTTTTGTAAGGCATCCACTTTGATAAATCTATATCTGTAAACTTTTCTCCTACTTATACACTAAATTGCAAATTTAAAATGTAAACTTTAAAACGTGTGTTTGTGCATGGGCTCATATTCACATGCCTTATGCACCTACTTTATCAAAAAATGCATGTATGATTAATGTCTATTATATTGCATACTTCATTAAAGTTATACAGAAGTATTCAATATCAATTATAAAATAACGAAAATATCATACGAAAAACATGTTCAATAAGAATTTGGGCAAATTTAAAATAAGAGAAAATAAAAGCTCAATAAACTTTTTTTCACGGATAAATATTGTTAAGTTTATTTATACAGGTAATTCTCTTTACCCTCAGATGCTGTACGCATTATTATCACGCACATTTATTTGAAGTCATTGTTAGCAGTACAAATGCACTCACATGCTGTTTTCTTCTTTTTTCCAAAATTATTTTTAGTTTTAGTGATGGGGTATATACATGTATTTTATCCTGATCGTGAGTATAAATCGCTAATGCTAAATCGATACCTCATAATATAATATCGATATCATCAAATGTTGCAACTGTTTGTGAAACTTCGGAAGTTCTTTACGTCTATACTTGAAATGTGTTGTAAAAGGTTTAAGTTTGTGATGAGATGAAATATTAAAAGCAAAACATATTTTATATTACAGAATTCGGACCTTAGGAGATAGAGACTTCATAATTAGCATGCATACTCCACTACGTAAACTCTTTCAAATGACATCCGACACAATGAACTTGTGACCTTGCCTTTAACCTATATGCTAAAAAAAGCTTTTCTATACTTTGGTCATAGCTTTTGATAAATAGGATATAAAGACTTCATACTTAGCATGCGTACTCCACTAATTAAGTTCTTTCAATGAACAAGGTCAATGAATTTGTGACCATGACTGTGACATATATGCTAAATTATATTTTTAATATATATTATAAAACACACTCTGATTGCACACACAAGTACTCTGACGTTGACATCAGAGATTCTTGAGTTTTTGATTGACAATATCTATGTGGTATATAGAGACTAGCTATTCTAACAATCTATTGGAATTTCCATGGATAACAATTGCGCTCCGTTATTAGCAGACCTATTTTTATATTCACATGAAGTAGAATTTCTGCAAAACTTTATGCGTAAAAAGAAGAAAACACTTGCTGTGGTCTTTAACTCGACATTAAGATATATTGACGACAGATTGTCAATAAACAATGGTAATTTCCTTTCCTACGTCGATACAATATATCCTGGTGAGCTTGAGATAAAAGAAACCACAGGTTCTAACACATTTTTTTCATGCTTAGATATTTTACTTGAAAAAGACGTTAATGGTAATCTAACAACCAAGCTATATTATAAACGTGATGACTTCTTCTATCGTCAACTTCCCTTACTTATGCAGCAATATACCTTCATCACCTGCATACAGAGTGTATATATCTCAATTGATTCTATACACAAGAGCATGCTCTACGTATGAACAATTTCTAAAACGAGGTAAATTATTGACAAGCAACTTGATGAAACAAGATTATCAGCAGTTTTAAGTCATCATTTAAAGTTTAAAGTCATCAATTCGTAAGTTCTATGGTCGATACAATGACATTGTCAGCAAATAAAATTTATCATTGAGTCAATGCTGACTGACGTTTTTAATGCAACTAGTTAATATTTATACACCGAATTGATGACAAAATTTCCCTTATTTCCCGATCACGACAAAAAGCACACGGCGGGTGTCATCGGTCAGCAGGGGACGCTCTCTCATCCATGGCACCTGATCCCACCTCTAAAGTTTCGTATTTGCTCTGCTCCTATTTTGTATTGTTTTATGGACTTTAATATTGAACATTGTTCGTTATCTCCATATTCTTTTTTTTTAATTTTTGCCTTATCTTTGACCAATAGGAGAAATAGACTTCATATAATTATAGTATGCTTACTCCACTGATTAAATTCTTTCAAATAACACCAAAGTCAATGACCTTTTGACCTTGACTGTGACCTATAAGCTAAAAATTGTGTTTTCGAACTTTTCGAACTTTTTGCCGCTTGGTGCATAGTGTTTCACAAACACATATTGTTCAATACATTTGTATATTTTCGATGACGTATCAAGATTGAAATTGTTCTAAAAATATACTTCTTAGAGAATGCGAGTAATCACAAATGTAGCCATAAATTAATTCAAAACAGGTCGTTTAACAGCAATTGAAAAAAAAAAACAGTAGTAGTGACACCCAGCTTTATGTAGAAAGATTTTTCTTTTTTGGAAGAAAAAAAACATTTCTCTTTATTAGGCGGCAGTATGGCTTTTCACAATAATGCACCCTTTTCTGCAAAAGATGTCGCCCATGATATCGACATTTTTTTTTGCCCCGTGGGGATCCGGGTTAGAATAGGTCCTCAGTACCCCCTTGCTTGTCGTAAAAGGCGACTAAATGGGGCGGTCCTTCGGATGAGACCGTGTAAACCGAGGCCCCGTGTCACAGCAGGTGTGGCACGATAAAGATCAATCCCTGCACAAAGGCCCTGAGTGCCGAGCATAGGCCTAAATTTGCAGCCCTTCACCGGCAATGGTGACGTCTCCATATCAGTGAAATATTCTGGAGCGGGATGTAAAACAGTACACAATCAATCAATCAATCGACATTTTTTTCTCATAAAAATATTAGTAAAAGTAGAAAAATACCTTTGTCAAGACTTAAGCTAACATTGTCATAAAAAATCCACAAACGTTATTTAAAAAAAAAACATTTATTTTTTTATTCATAATCAGCAAACAAAAACATGTACATGTAAGGGCTTTAAAGAAAGAGAAAACAGTTTTCCTTTTTAGGAAAGGGTGTTTAAGGTTTGCGAAGAAGCATTTTCACGACCTTCAAAGGTTTGTACACATCCCAACCATACCAGCCCATAACATTACTTCCGGATGAGGCGTACGTCGCTGTCAATTTGGTTCGCAGACAACTCAGATTCCACCATGCTGTTTTAAAGTCCACAGCGCAATTTCCTGAATTCGTATCATGGTCGACATCTTTTGCAGAAAAGGGGGCATTATTGTGATAAGCCATACTGTCGCCTAATAAAAAGAAATCCATTAATAACTTAATGAAAATTATAAATAAACAGTCAATAATTTGGAAATTGATATATAAATGTAAAACCAATACAAAAGAATTACGGTTCTATATGAAAAGCATAGAATGTCGAGGAATAAATATTTTTGTAAACTGGTATTGATGAACATATACGATGAAGTTATAATTTGCTCTAAGCTCACAATTGTCTTGTGGGTTTTTAACCAGAATTTGTTTCATTTTAATACATTTTCAATTTAATACATTTACCTGCATCTCCAGTATACCCGGAAACTGTCATAAGATAATTAGTTGAGGTCGATCCGACATTGAAGCTACTGTACTCGGCGAACCGAGTGTTTGAAGAGTAATCCTCGAATTCGAACCTCAGCACTGTGTTTCCCCCGGCTGTCAACAGATGGATGTATAGGTGTCCTACAATTAAAGACGATTTAACATTCAATGTTATAAACTGGCTTCTTCATGACCCTGTCAACATTAGAATTTCGCAACATGTACAGGCTGGATTTAATCCCAACAAACATAATCAGATAAATGTAGGGTTATTAGACGGGTTACATGTTACATGTATCAATGTCAGTTTTACAATTATATGAATCTATTGTTTTGATATACTCTCTCTCTCTCTCTCTCTCTCTCTCTCTCTCTCTCTCTCTCTCTCTCTCTCTCTCTCTCTCTCTCTCTCTCTCTCTCTCACCTATCCAGCTTTCTGTGAACGGACTACCAAATCCAGTCTCAAATTCAGCATAGGTTCTGTAGAAGTCCACACTACCGTCATTTCTGTCCATGATCACCTGGAAAGGACAACATTTAATGTTGAATTAAGTGCAGCATGGGAATCAATATTTCACTGACCCCCTTCCTTCTTCAGATACTTCTGGTTCATTATAATTTTAGAAGACAAATTATTTAATACTTTAACTCATTTAACATCTTCCTCGGTGTAAACATTCTGTCAGCATTTATTTGTAAAAAGAGATTTTTTTACAATCTTAAAAAATCTTTGATATTGTCAAAAAAATGTTTGAAGTTTATTTTTCTGGCGGAATCAATACTATAATATAAATATTTTATTAGGATTTTCCTAATTCTTCTTCAATTATGTGGTGTACAGTATGGGTTTTTCCTTTAGCCTGTTAGGCATCAAAAAAGATTCATCAGCGACATCTAAGAAATATGTCACTGGTTGCATGTTGACGCAGTCATGTTTGACGTAACGTTAGCAAAATCTATCATGTTGACGTAATAATCAGGGGAAAAAATCAATCTTGAGTGTAGAAAACATGGCACCATTATTTCACATTTATGTTCTGATAAGTAAAAGAAACATGAATGAAAAAGAGGAAGGATATATATGAAACAATTTATTAACATACTGTGTAAGCATAGCCATTCTTCATGATGCACTGAACGTCAATGGGTCCGCTATTAATGGTCACTGTGTAGAATCCGCTACCACCTGATATCGACGCTATGCAATCACAGTCTGAACAACCTATGTTTTGGAAAAAAGGTAAGTAATAAATCTTAAAGTCACCATAATTATTTAAAATTTATACGTGTTAACATGTTTTACTGGAATTCCGTTGGCTATCTATCCTTCGGAACTCTTTTTTGAAGTTATAAAAATCTACTCTTTTCCATCATGCTAAAATTTATATTTAATATTTTCTATTGAAAAATAAACCAGCAATATTAAGGCTAAATGATAGTTTACACGTAAATTGTCGATCTAGGGTAGTTATATCGCTTCTGCGAAATTTGGAGAATCAAAGTTTAATATTTATAAAAAGTTCTTGCTTATTTTCTATTCAATAAGCATTTTGTTCTCATAATTTAAAAATTTAGTCTTGGAATAGTTAAAATTATGCACACGTGACATTCTGTTAGTTTCAAACAAGGAGTACTCTTGTCACCAACTACTTGTAGATACCTGTACATCGATACATGAACATTGTCAAGCGACTTCAGTCACTTCACGCATGTTAATTCTTAAAATTTCAAATCACTATACTATTAATTTGCTAAAAATCAAAACAGAAGATAACCCCTAACATAAAATCGACGAAAACGATGTGAAACAAGAAATTCCTCAACAATTTCAACATTTCGAAAAGCTGGAGCTATTTGAAATAGTTCGCTTACAATTATTGAATAGCGTACGCGCACAAATTGTTGATTATTCCACAATTATTCCAATAAACACACTGATCAACGCGTTATCGGTTACTCGGTTGTTACCGGACACTCGGTGCAAGAAAAGCAATGTTATGAAAATGTAAGTAATTTTAAATTTCATATTTCAACGATAAATTTGTATTTCAGCGAACAAAATTTGTGATCTATGACAGATAATTGATTATACTTTCAGTAGCAGAAAGCACAAACCAAATCACTCTCTTTCAAAAGATCTACAACTTTTTCAAATGATATGATATAAAATTTCGGAATATGTCATCACATTTTTACCTCTTTAGAATTAAAAATTAGTTTATTCTATCAAACAAACTGGTCTATTTATTATTTATTATATAGACTATCAGATACCTTTAGATCAGCAAACTGGGATGAAAAATCCAAACTAAGGATTAGTAAACAATCTTTTAAAATGTCTCGTTAGTTGAAAACATGTTATCGGCAACACGGTTGATGTTGCCAGATACTTCAGTTTTTGACGGGTGTATGTTATTGGAAATCCAGGTTAAAAAGTTTCCTTTAGCTTCATAAATGGATTGAAAGAAGTCCATTATAATCTGCCAATCCTTGAAAATAGCAAAAGTAAAAGTTTGCTTTGATATTAATATTTATCACATATTTTCCCCTTTATCCCGTTGATATAGCTCATGTGATATCGTTTTCGTATCAACACTATGTATTCCTACGCCGCGTGACGTAATGTAAATAAACAAATACATATGTTTGATGGAGAGAATGACTTAATTTGTCAAATTTCACTTTATTTGATGTATTTTAACAAGATTACATTCGTGATTTGAAAAAAAATAAGAGCTGAAATATTTTTTTTTCTTTTATATTTGTACGAACTATTTCATACAGCGAAATTTTATTTAATACGTTATTTGGTCCTAGGTAAGCGAAAAGGAAATTTGAATTAGTGCATTAAAAAATAATTTGCAATTATGTGTTATGTCACTCTGCAAACTGATTGTTGAAAAAAAAAACCATTATACATAATTCAAATTAATTTTCATATATCAATTTGAAATGCATTTTGAAAATAAAGAGCTGATTATCCAGTAATGAAATGCTTTGACAGACAATAAATTACAATTAAGAGAATAAGAAAGAGAGATCCTTAATTCTTGTGATTTATTCCCTGGAGATAGATAACACAAAAACTTGATAAGAGATATGCCTTAACAACTTCCAACACCAAACTCATTTGTTTATCTCTAACTGGATGCATGTCCAGTTATTATTCCCAAGAGCCAAATGAAATTTCATTATCTTCTGTGCAATGTAAAAACTGTTTTTAACACTTGATGATGTTTCTTTTTTAAAGTTTTTATAAGTAGTTTAAAGCTGTAGTATTTTTGAAAAGGTATTTTCTAGATTCTATATCTCAATCCTTATATATGAGCCTAACATGAACAAGTCAACTAAAATAAAAAATAAATTCTGTACAATGCAAAAAATTGAAAATTCCAGGTGCACACCTTCATATGGTGAATAAAAAGTGTACAAATCCTTGCAATAGTTTCTGAGAAACGGTACAGACAAAACCACAAAATAGAAAAGAAAACACACCTGTAAAATTCAAAATAATAATCTAATCAAGATGAAAATTTCAGGTGCACAACTTCATATGGTGAATAATGAGTGTACAAATTTTCGGACAAATCCTTCCAATAGTTTCTGAGTAATGATCCGGACAAAATCTCGTCTACAGACAGACAGACGGACATGGTGACTCCAATATACCCCCCTAATGGAATTATTTAATCAGAACATTGCCTTAGAACATTGTGCTTTTTATTTTGTATAGTAATTTGATAAATCTGAAAAATTGCATGGGAGATACGTGATATAAATATGTGTATATATGTATTTTGGAACAAAATAGCTTCTATATGTCCGTGTCCCCCTCTCCTTAATGTAAACATCTGATGGAATTCAAATTCATTAAGTTTACTTTATTAACAAAATTCATCAGACTTGTACAAGGATAAAGTCAACTGCGTTATTTTAAGTGATAATTGTTTTTCATCATCAGTTTAAAATACAATTGATAAATTTCTTAAGTACATCTTAACCAAATACTTTCTCTTTGGTGAAATGATACATTGTTCTATAATTCAAATCTAAATAAAAACAACTTTTTTCAGGAACAATGACATTTATTTCTAATCATGTGTAATTGATGGAATGGAAAAGAAAATTTAACATTCGGTATTTTTTAAAATATTTTTTAAACTATGATGGTACAAAATAAAAAGCACAATGGTCTAAGGCAATGTTCTGAATAAATAATTCCATTTACTTAAATGGGGTTTGCTCTTTGGGCTCAACAATGATCCAGTCCTTGATCTGCAGCAGAGGTTTTAATGAACCCCGAGATACCTTGTCTCTTTGTGAAAACATTATACACTTATTTAATGACTACGAGGTAAACAGTCGAAATGTTGTCCCGAGGTAGTGGGGGAGACCTGGGAAACTGTTGCCCGAGGCTGAAGGTCGAGAGAAACAGTTTCCCAGGTCTTCCCCACTACCGAGGGACAACAGTTTGACTGTTTCACCGAGTAGTCATTAAATAAGTGTTTTATTACCTAACCTACTATATTATACAATTGTTTAAGGCCTGAGCATTCATTAGACCAGAATATTTTTCCCGAGGTGTAGGGAACAGCTCAGTGTGTTCTATTGCCCGAGGCCAGCAGCCGAGGGCAATAGAACACACTGAGCTGTTCCCTGCACCGAGGGAAAAAAATTCTGGTCTATTGACTGTTCAGGCATTAAATAATTGTTTTATTACCTAATTTTATTTTCTGTATTAAGTGTTCAAAATTGTATATTTTGTACACGAGGTTCCCGTACCATATTGTTAATTTTTACCTAGATATGGTGCATCTGTTATATTAATTAAAGATTGATTGTATAGACTATTGATTACATTCCTCTCGAAAAATTTTCACTCTTATGGAGATGCCACCACTTTCCGGTGGAGATGGACCTTTTTGTGCCAGCAGAGCACCTACTGCTACACGGGACCTCGGTTGACAGGTCTCACCCGAAGGACCAGTCTCCACATCCCAAGGTGTATTAATTAAAAGTAACTCTCATTAAATAAAATATTCGACCATTGAAATCACACAATTTTTAAAACCAATGCAGAAAGATCGAATAAAATAATTGTTTACCATGTCTGTGCAGTGTTAAAAACAACTAAATTTGAAACCCAGATCGTTTTTCTCGAAATACGTCACCGGTCAACGCGCAGTCTATTGACCGGTTAATAGAACGGGCATTCTATTGACCGGTCAATAGATCAGATTGAAAAGATAAGGAAAACTGAAAACACACTCAGAATAGATGAAAATATTAAATCTCTAATAAAACAACAAATCTTACTTGATTAGTTAATAAAATTAATTAAATTGGAATAAAAGCATACAAACAATCAAATTTAAGCAATAACAGTTTTCACAACTGTTTATTCATATTACTTGTCTATTAATTGGCTGAACACATAATATAAAGATTAAATTAATGCTTTTAATTTTAAGTAATACTTTATAAATTGAATATTTGTATGTTTTATTTGAATTTGATTTATTAAAGAGCAGGTAAATAGTGATGTCGTGATCATCAAAAAGCTTGAATATCACGATGACGCTTTAAACAGGCAACAGTTCATTCTGTGGCCCGGTCAACAGTTCACTGTTTCATGATCACGCAAAAACATAAAGTGAACCGTGAAACAGTTCAAAATGCCTAATTATAATTTATATAGTAGGTTAGGTAATAATACGTTTTGCTGGCTATGACATCGGTGGATATACGTTTATATCTACTATCTAGATGGTTAAGGTAATTAAGCCAGTATTCCGCATAAACATTTTTCATCGACAAGGAAACAAAGATCAGAAAGCAAACGCTCTCTCTCGGATTCCTGATACAGAGGTTTGTCCACATTACCAAGAAGATGTCCAACTAGAACAGTTACCATGTGGTGGATGTAATTATTGTAGAAGGGTGCATCAAAACTGGGGTGAGTTTAGCAGAGATGTGAATGATGTCATCTCATTGAAAAAAATACAGCCAAATACCCAGAGATCAGGCAGCGAAGTGTAATTTATTGGTACCCGGAATTTCCCCACCGAGAAATCATGTTTCAGCCTTTGATGGACATGCTGATCAGATGGTACAGACTGGAAATTCACCAAAGAACTTATGTTTGTAAATTTTATGGTTGTTAACATATGTAATAAGTTCCCCAAGAACATTTTTTTAAACGGGGAGGAGTGTAGTAGTCACGTTAAGTCTGATATGCGCATCGGGATCGGAATTCTAAAAAATTGTTATCGATTCTTGTGCCATGGACAGTGACAGATTCACAATTTGTTTTGCACGTTTGCCATTGCGTTTTCATTGCCGTAATATTGATAATTTGTTTATTTTATGTA